ATGCAAGTAGACTTTAAACGACAAGCTCTGCAGTATTCAGCAGCTACTTGCTGCACCTGCTGGGCCAGTTCCCGAGTTGGTGCCAGCACCAAACACTTAAAGAAAGAAGAGCAGCTTTCAGCATTGACTTAGGTAACTATTAGTTTTGTTTCTTTGGTTAACTACTTTTTTTTTGCAGTGGGGAAAGGGGAGCTGTGGACTGAACCCAGGTGTGGATTATTTTTAAGCTGCTAATTTGTACTGGTACACCCTTCCTATGCTGCACTGACAAATCTCTATATAAAAGCATCCTGAATTAGAACTTTCACTGTGCTTCTGCAAGTCCCTGTAGTATCCTTCTGACCATAAAACTTAAAAAAATTATACTTACAATAGGCCCATCACCTCTCTCTAGGAATGGCTGATGATTGATGTGGACGATGGCAGGCAATAAGTACTATTGGGTAGAGAAGAAGGACAAATCATTCTAAACAGATCATTTTAAAATGCTGTTTTTATTCCCATTGGGTGCTGGCATTTACCACCCAGCAACTCAAGAATTACCAATGCAACTCAACTCTTAACTTACAGACAGTGTCTTCCCAGATCCAGTCTGGGCCACTCCAACCATATCCAATCCACTTAGAGCAACTGGCCATCCCTGAGCTTGAATAGCAGTGGGTTCAGTAAAGTTCTGCCTTGCAATTACATCCATGACATTTGCAGGGAAGTTTGCTTCATAGAAATTCAAAACTGGCTTTGGACAGTTGTGACCTCTAACTGTAATTTCCTTGCTTCTTCTGTATGTTTCCACCTCTTGCTGCAAAACAGTAATTTTTGTAAATGTCATGACTTCCTTAGCTAGAAACCATACTGACATATGAAAATCCATGTACTTTATTTTAGTTGGAACGAGGGATTGAACTCAGGCCCTTGTGCTTGCCAGGGAAGCGCTTATTCTACTGAGCCATCTCCCCAGCCCCAAATCCAAGTATTTTAAAAACCACCTATCCTACTATGCTCAACCAGATAAATAAATTTATACCTAGTCTTTCAAGTTAGTTATCTGTCCCATTCTGATTTAGTAAAAAGCATTACTAAGTTACCGCCTGAAGAAACCATATGAAAGTACTCACTGCTGTGCGACGAGCCAAATCTGGGTGTTCTTGATAAAAATTCTTCTCAAATTTCGGCAGTTCATCAAGATTCCACTTCTTTTTTACTAGTTTTTCACCAGGATTTCCAAATTTCTTTCCAGACAGAGGACCTGCTCTACTCCCTCCAAATCGAGGTGCCCCAAACCTGAAATTAAACAAAAGTTATTCATATTTCTCAAACATCTATACTAGTATTTGTATTCATGCTTTTCATTGCTTAGCAACAGTTTGTTTTTTGAAAGACAAGGTCTCCCTATGCAGCCCAAGCTGATCTCGAACTCGCAAAGATCCTCCTGCCTCAGCCTCGCTGGTGCTGTAATTACAGGCATGCGCCACCACGCCCCGTTTAGCTTTCTAAAAGTATGCAACCTGAGTCCTTTATGACAGTCATTTTGTCAACTGGCATCTCATATATTGTTTGTTCTATTCCAACTATGCAGTACTGACTGGGTCGAAACCCGTTGCTCTGAAACCCCAAGTTCAGACTGCAATTGACAGCATCTCGTAGATGCTATCTATCAGATTTCCCCACGATCCTAAGAATGAAGCGCCTAGGAAAACACGGCGGGTGGGGCCTAACTACGCGGTGATTTTTACGACTGTTTTCACGCAAAAGGAGCTGCTGGTCACAGGCACCGAGGGGCCAGAAGCAGGAGGGTTTCGCCGCGCGCTCTGGCAGGGGCCCTGGGTCGGGGGACTCGCGCGTTGGCGCTCCCGAACGAGGCAGCAAAATTATATAACTACAGGAAAGGAGAAGGAGGAGCCGACGGCGACCGGGGGAGGAGTCCCGGCCCGGGCGGAGCCGGCCGGGCGGCGTTCCCGCTGGGGCGGCGCTTCCCCCTTTGTCTCGCATTTCTCTCTGCGCCACATTTTCCCGACGCTGCCATTTTGAGCTCCTCCGCCGGGCGGGGTAACAAAGGCGCCGCCGCCATGTCCGAGGCCGGCATTTTGTATCCGCGGCTCAGCCACTCCGCGACTCGGCTAGCGCCGGCCTCCCCGCAACCGCACCGACGGCCTCGGAAGACACTTTCCAATGAATTCTCGGGGTCCCCAAAAGACCTCCCCCACGATTGCACCCAACGGCGGCGCCTCCGGGAGCCGCGATGCCCTCTTGAGAGAGGCTCCTTCGGCTCTCCTAATAGCTCCCGAGCGACCGAGGCCCCGATAGCTCCTGGGCCCCCCCACTCCCTAACAAAAAGCGAGGTTGAGACAATTTTCCTCGGCGTCCTTTTATTCATCAAAATGGCGCAAAACCTTCGACCGAGGCGGCCGTAGGACTAGAGGCGGAAAGGCCGACCTCCGCGCGACGCTCCCACCCGCCCTCCCATCCCCCCTCGCCGGCCTGACAGGTCAGCTCCCACTCACCCTCGATCCCGGCCGCGGTCCCGGTCGCTCGAGTAACTCGACATGGCGTCAATGGTTGCGGTTGGCGAGGAACAAAGTGAAGAGAATCGGGTGCGACGAATCGCTGGAAGTGGCCTCTGCGTTAGCGAAGCCTTTCGGGGGCGGCAGCGGCGGAGGGACTACGATGACAAGCGCCGGAGCTACGCAACCGGAGGCCGGCAGAAATGAATGAGGTGCCGACTGGGTGCCGGCAGCCGGTTTTATAGCCTGGGCCGCCTCCTCCGCCGCTAGGAATGCTGGGAGCCACCCCACTCCCTAATCGCCCCGCCCCCTGCGCAGAGGCCGCAACGCCCGCCGGCGTTCCGGAATCCGCCATCTTCCTGCCCCTCCCCCGCGCCCGTTCCCTCAGTTGCCCGTTTCCCCATCCCTTCATGGCTGGGCTCATCTACCGCAAGGCCTCATTTTACTCTTTTGACCTCACCTTTTGCTAGTCCTCCCACATTTCAAGTGAGCCACTTTGTCCTTTTCCAGACCCAGTCAGGCGATTAAATGACCAATGAAAACCAACCCACTCCCTACTTTGGAGATGTTTACGTCCGCAGAGCTCCCACGCCCATAACCAAATGAGACCGGGAGGCGGCGCCTGACGTTGTCACGTGACCGTCCCCGCCTGGCAAGAGGAGCGCACTATTTCCTCTTTTGACGTCGGCGGAGGAATACTCAAAGCTACAGTGCAGTGGCTCTCCGGAAGTGGCAGTTCTAAGGCTCGGGTGAGACCGTCAGGGCTACGGGGTTACCTGGACTGCCCCACCCGTCGCCCTGAGGTTTTCTGGCGAGCTCTTACCCTCGAGGAATGTGGTCTTCAGCCCGCAAACTGCCACCTAGGCGCGTGCTGCGAAAGGAAGTGCTTCTCTGATGACCAATCAGCGGCGAGAAGCCGTTTTAACGTCCTTTCCCCCTTTTTTCTCCTTCCCCCACTGGTTGCGCCGTCTCCCCCCCCACCCGCGCGGCGTTCGCGCGGAACGGCCCTTCCTGGACACCGTCGCTCGCGCGCAGGCTGTAGAGTCCGGCGGCAATTTTTCTCCGCGACATGGCCGGCTCGGAGACTGGTGAGTCTCGGCTCGGAATCCCAGTGTGTGTGAACTGCAACACTCCAACCTTCCGAATGCTTCGGGCCCGCTTTCTTTGGGTCTGAGCTGCTGCCGAGGCTCTGTGCTGTCAGACACCCTGTGTCGGGTTCTGTGTGTAGATCTCAGCCTCATTCCCCCCTTTTTTTAAAGGCTGTGGGACGGCGCCCGAGTGTGCGGGGCCCTGCGGCGAGGCCGGTGGGGGTCGAAGGCTGCTGCCCGGGCCTCCGGACGGAGCGCGTCCTCCCCTGGGTTGCTCTGAGATGGTTAGCTTTCTGCTCTTGCTTTGCGGGGACTGAGGCTGAACCTACGTTCTGAGCTTTTGAGACCGTGCTTTTAAGATACTCTTAAGCCCCTGTCGAAGTAAAACAGTGGTACTTTTTTGTCTTCGTTGCCTCCCGAAGTTTCCGTCTTTGTCTAAAACGGCTTTTGAAAAGCGAATCGATTGGGTTGTCTGGGACGCTTTCATCCGTTTTTCCGGGATGGCGTACAAAGCGGTCATCTCGGCTTGCTCAGCTCTGAGCAGAGGGTACATAAATAAGAAGGGATGCCGTGCGTGCCACCAATGTAGGCTCATTTGTCCCCAGGACACGCCCGCAGCATCCTGGAGACCCAGTACTAAAGTACTTTCCTCTTTATAACTAGCCATTTCGGGACATAGGTGTTGCAGACTTTCCAACTTAGCATTAGTCAAGAAACCAGTAACCTTGGCAAGTCTGGTGCTGTCTGCGGGAGGCAAATGTGCATTTCCCAAAGAATTTTAGCACTGTTGGTAATGTACTAGTTCTGAGCTTAGGGTTGTTTTTTATTTTCTTTCATATACATCAAACATAATTTTTAAAAAAGAAAACAAATACGTCCGTACTGGCGTTATCCCAGATTTTAACAGCCTAAATTAATCACCTATTTGGTCATTAGAGAGGTCCTGACTTGCACAAAATAATTGGGTAGAAACACAACTAATACTGTTGGGAATTTGAAGCCACCTCCATTAGTTTCTGATAACCTAAGGTTATTTAAAAACTGTCTGTGCTATGGTATTTACTTTGAAATGTTTTAACTGAAAATGTATAAAATAAAAATCACTGGTACACGAGTTTTTAGGTTGTAACAGTAAATCTTTTAGAAATCTTGCCTGGGAGGGTCTTTAAACTTTGTAACAAGGGGGCCGGGAGATAGCTCAGTAGAATAAGCTCAAGAGCCTGAGTTCAATCCCTGGTTACACACACACACACACACACACACACACACACAAAGTTCTGTAACAAATTCCTTAATTTTACATCAAGTTCAATGCCTGTTTTTGTAGGGGATTGATGGTTTTTAAAATGTGTGCCTGATTTTTTCTAATGCTACTGAAAACTGATTTTTTTCCCCCAACAGAGTGGGTAACCATTGCCAATAACCTTCTTTGTAAATGTCACATACATCTGAGGCTACATGAACTTGAAGATTGTGATGCTAATGTTTTTATTGCTCTTTACCAATCCATTTTGGGAGAAAAGGTACCAGGTAAGGGTACTGAAAAGTGAAAGTAACTGTGTCCATGTTCTAGGCCAGTTAGGTCCTTAAGTATTTATAAAATTTTGGCTTTTTCTGCCTTATTTCTGTCCAAATATGGTATTTACTACCTTATGAATGAATACCTTGTAGGACCCACACATAATTCTAATTTTGATCAAATGAGGTTAAACACTTAATTTGATCATACCCAATGTCAGACCATTCTGGTAAATATATCTTTAAAGGTTCTACAATTGAATGGAACCTGGAATTTTTGGGGTTCTATTACTTTGTATTATAGATAAGAATTTATTAACAACACAATTAATTTGTTTTTGGAGGGGTGGTGAGATAGGTTCTCACTATGTATTCTGGGCTGGTTGTGAACCCACTATACAACCCACACTGGCCTGGAACTTGAAGCAATTCACCTGCTTCATCCTGTAAGTATTAGGATGATATTGTGCAGCATCACACCCAGGGTCTTACCATCTTGCAAATTTGTATCTTGCATATTTCTTTCAGAGAGACAGCATTTCCTTGTGCTCTTGGTTAAGTATCTCAGCATCCTTATCCATAGATCCCTTTACTGCTTCTACTTATTTATACCATTAAGTACTATAAAACAGGATCTGTATACTTTTTACATTATTAGTGTGAATTAGTTCCCTCAGCAATTCCTGGAATAAGAGATGGTCTCTAGCTAACATATTTGATCTAGTCCTCTTTTCAAGGGCTCATCTTAGTACCAAATTTGACTTTGTATTATTATATTCTGATCTGTACTGACTTTTAAAACCTTTAATACCAATTAATACCTGTGGATTTTTGTAGCTAGATATGTAAGAACCTTTTTTGTGTTGGGCTTGATGGAGGTTGATTGTAAGTTTGAGACCAAATGAGCTACATAGCAAATTCCAGGGTGGCTTCAGTTACATAATGAGACCCTGTCTCTCAAACAAACAAATACCCTCCTTGAATACTTGCTTTCTAGTTTTTTCTTTCATGGAGAGTAGTCCACAGTTACAGATTAAAGTCTCAATTCATGTCTTATTTTTTCTTAAAATATTAGCATCTATTGGAATTTCACACCTCTCTATCTTCCTTTTCAGGGTGCTTTCTGTATAGCATGTTCATATTATAGGTGTAGTAAATAGTTAACAAATGTATGCTCCATACTGAGAGGTTCAATCAGATATGCAACCAGTAAAGGTTCAGCTGTGTACAATTTAGGCTTTATTAACTTATCTGTACTATAGTTTATTCTCTTTGTGCAGAGCTTGCTTTTGTAGGCATTGAGTTTACTTTGTCACCTGATCAGAGACAAGTAGATGAAAACTTGGAGCAAGTAGATGCAAACTAATTTAATTGTTTCCCAAGACCTCATTGCTGTTCCCAAGAGTCAAGAAGATGAGGCCCACAATGTACAAGCAGTGATTGATTCATTGGCCTTGGATTACCTGCAGGTCAGCTTGTCTCACATAACAGGTTAGTGTATCTGTAAGCATTAGTGTATCTGATTGTGCACATTAGTAGAATGTTGTCAGGTAGAATCGTAGACAATGTTTTTTTTTTTTTTGTTTTGTTTTTTTTGCAGAACCGGGGGATTGAACTCAGACCCTTGTGCTTGCCAGGCAAGCGCTTATTCTACTGAGCCATCTCCCTGGCCTAAAGTTCAATCTTTTTTTTTTTTTTTTGTGGAACTGGGGATTGAACTCAGGCCCTTGTGCTTTCCAGGCAAATGCTTATTTTCCTGAGCTATCTCCCCAGCCCTGACAATGTTTAATGAATCAAATGTGTGAGCTTATGAAATAGATGAACTAAGACTGACCGGGGACAGTCAACCATAGGCAGAGACCGCCAGGTGAGAGCGAGCTTTACCAGAACAGTCAGACATTTAGTTTGTGCCGGATCTGGATCAGAAGTACATTGAGTTATGTTTTTATGTTTTATTATTATAATGTCTCGTTTTTGGACAGGATCTTGCCATGTAGTTCAGGCTGGCCTTGAACCCACTTGTGTGGACTAGGCTGGCTTCAGTCTCTATAATCGTCCTACCTCAGCTTCTGGCTGTTTTGTTACTTTAGAGCATGCCAGTTATGCATGTTAATGTAGCTAAAAGTTAGAAATACCTAAATACCTATTAATAGGGACTGGTTAAATACATTTTGAAAGCTCTGAAAAGTGAACTACTCTTGGCTATAAAAGGTTTAATTTTAGCAGAACAATCTCTAATATGTAGTATGAGAGAAAATTTACGTATTCTAAATCTTCCAAAAATATAAGCTGTTTTTTGAAACTTTCACACAGATGAAGTGTTTATGCTGTATTTCAAAGCCAATACTTTCATAAATCCTTATATTTGTAGATAGTAAAGGATAATTATTATTCCAGCCAATTATTTCAAGTTAATGAGAGAAGGCTTTACTGTTGATCTATTTTTTGACAGTAAAGGAGATGAATGTTAATTTGATAGATCATTTATGTCTCTTAAGAACACAGTTCTGACATTTCAGTCCTATAGAAAACCCATTACTATTATGGACTACTGGACTATATTGGAATATTTTGCTGAATTCACACATCTAAAATACTTAAATGACAATGGAATACCCTTCTCTGACAAAACTAAACAAAAAGGGGATACAAATAAAGGACCATTTTGTATCTGTATATTCAAAAGTTAGGATAGATATACAGCTACTTTCTCTTAATTCAGTGAATAGAAAGATTTGTTCTAATAGTATTTGTGGACAGGATATCATGTCTGCATCTTCTACTATGAATAGCCACTAAGAAGACAACAGTATGCAATGTATTAATTATTGAAACTGTCCTACTAATTGGTTTTGAAACTGTCTCATTGCTATTTGTTTCTCAGTAAAATCATTAAAAAAAACCCACACAGTTTGGCAAAACTACTCTTGTATTTTGAGTTTACTTCTAAATGGTAAATCAGTTTGGAAATAATTTAAGGAAGAAGTCTATAGAGTTTCCCTATATTTTATTGTTTAGCAATTTGTAATTCCTTAATCACATTGAATAGGGCAATTCCTGGTATTTATGCTTTTAAAATATATTGTAGTAAAGTTTACATATCTGCCCCTGACAGATCATGCATTTGGATGAAAAATTAAAAAATTGTTTACTTTCTTTAGTAGACTGCAGAGCACCTTTCCCCTTGTTGTATTTGTTTCAAAGCAGTTTCCCCTTTACCGTGAAGCAGCGCTTCTGGCCGGCAGTCTTAGTTGGCAGAGTAGTTCCCCATCCTGGAAACTCAAAGGTACTGAGTCTGCCCTTGGAGTATACTAATAAAGCCAGAAAAACACAGGGCTTGAAAACAAGATTTCTGGTTCATTATTTTAAGCAGGATATAGACCTGTTAAGCTGCTATTTCTTCTTGTAGTAATATAAAACATCAAATTTCTGGTTTGCATTTGTTTTGTATCATGGCTAGAGACTCTCACATAGGAAATTCTAGCTGCAGCCCATTTTCTGGGTCCCCTTCCATCTTTCTCAGGGTGTCTCTTCCTCAATAAAATATCCTACTTTTTTTTTTTTTTTTAAATCCTTCTTGTTTCTTTCTTTTAAAAGACAGTGTCTTGTCATGCAGTTCAGGCTGGCCTGGACTCACTAAGTAGCCCAGGCTGTCCTGAAACTTGAGGTGATCCTCCTGCCTTGGCCTTCCAAGTGCTGGCATTATAGGCATATACCACCATGCCTGGCTCAAAATTTCCTGCTCCTAAAAAACATAGAATTCCTTCTGAGCCTCCTGCACACTGGTTTGAACTTGTGACTGCTAAGCATGATATCCCAAAAGATAACCAACACATTGCAAGAGTTAAATTCCATTCATAGCTGATGTTGATTGAAGTCCATTGTAAATAATAAACGTTAGGTTTTCATGCATTTGCCAGCTCATTTTTATTCATTTGAACATGTTATGGGGTAGGTACTGGGATAGGGACCATTTAGAGATTAACTTCGTATTGTCACTTATTTATTTTTTAAATTTAGTTATTTTTGAGACAGTGTCTCGCCTTGTCCAGGCTGGCCTTGAACTTGCAGCAGTCCTCCTGTGTCAGCCTCCTAAGTACTGGGATTACAGGTGTGTGCCACCATGCCTAGATTTAAAAGTTAATTTCTGAGTCCTAAGTGGAAGTATTAGAGGTTGAGGATGGAGGAAAAATAAAAAGGGTTTTATATGCAGAAATTTTTTAAAAAGAAACCAAAAGCATTGATGAGAGTTTTTGTTTTGTTTTGTTTTGGTTTTGTGGTGCTGGTACTCAAATCTTGCAGATGAGGTTTTAATAAGAACAGGAATTACTGGTGAAATTATCTCGTTATTTTGTTTTGCAATTATACTATTCTGCTATTGTCTTTTGAACAAACCATTCTAGAAGTAGGATCTTACAATCTGAAATGTTCTCTTCTGCCTTTGTTCTTTGAGATAGGGTGTGTCTTGGTTACTTTTCTCTTGTTTCTGGAACAAAATACCTGATACCCAAAATCAAGGAAGGAAAGGTTTATTTAGCTCCCAGTTAGTGGAGGTTTCAGTCCATACTAGGCTGGCTCCAAGGCAGAGCGGCATATGGCAGAGGGCAGCCGTTCATGGTGGTGGAAAACCGCAGAGAGCCAAGGGAGGGGCAGCGGCTGCTGCACTGAGCAAGCCTCCCGCCCTCTCTGATACTGCATCCAGGCTGTCCGCCCAGGGCGGGGCGGCACGCACACCCGCAATCCCAGCATTGGATCATGAATTAATCACAGACTCTAGAAGCCACCCCATAACTGCATGAGGCTTTGGAGGGGACAACTAGACACAAACCGTAACAGGGTCTTACTATGTAGTTCAAGCTAGTCTTCAACACACTGTGTATTCCAAGCTGGCCTTGAACTCACAGTGATCATCCTGCCTCAGCCTCTCCAATGCTGGGATTGTAGGTGTGTACCATCTGCCTGGCTTTTTTTTTTTTTTTTTGTGGTACTGGCGATTGAACTCAGGCCCTTGCACTTGCCAGGCAAGTGCTTATTCTACTGAGCTACCTCCCCGGCCCTGCCTGGCTGCGGGTTTTTTTTTTTTTGCGGAACCGGGGATTGAACTCAGGCCCTTGCACTTGCCAGGGAAGTGCTTATTTTCCTGAGCCATCTCCCCGGCCCTACCTGGCTGTCTTGTGTCATTTTCTTTTCACCAATCCAACAGAGCTCTGCCTTACTACTTTATATGTTGGTATGATTCTTACTAGAGAATGTTTTCTTAAGTCCACTTATTTTGCTTCTTAAAAAGTGAAATATGCTCTTGTTATTTTTCAGATATAATTAAGCAGGAATAACAATATTAAGCCTTTGTAATCCATGCATTACTGAAAATGTTACATCCATTTCAAGAGTGAGACTTTCAGGTGTATAGGGTAAAGGTTTTAACCCCTCTGTATTCTGTATTCAGGAGAAAATATAGTGAAAGGAGATAAAGAATCTATCAAGAATCTCCTAGAAATATTTGATGGGTTGCTGGAGTATCTGACAGAACACATCAGTGAAGCATCTTACGAGAAAAGTAAGTGTCAGGGTGGAGGAGGGCAGAGCTTGGGGACAGCACGTGTTCAGCTTGCTCAGGGCTCTGGGCTCTGATTTCCAGCACCACACAAAAATTGCTTTGACCTATGGTTGTGTTTTAATAGTATGTCCCTCCCTTTTGCCTGCTGTTCTTAGAAAGCAGAATCATTGATATAATATACCTGGTAGATTTCATTACAAATTTCCAGTGGTTTTATCCGAACAACTTGAATAGTCCCTTCAATAGGAACTGTTGCCCATTTATTTCTGTTTCAGATGGTTCTAAACTCTGACCTAGACTGTGATCAAGTCCTTTGTTGATTTGGATATTGCTTAGAAGTTTTTTTTTTGAGGGGGGGGGACTGGGATTGAACTCAGGCCCTTGTGCTTGCCAGGCAAGCGCTTATTCTACTGAGCCATCTCCCCGGCCCTATAAGTCATTTTAAAACTAGTTTATAGTAGAAGGGTAAATTTCTGCCTGAACCATTTACTGTCCTATTATAGCATGAAATTATGAAATTACTTACTCTAAAACTGTTAGAACTACCATTTCATATATAAATATTTTTTCTTTTTGGCATTGGGCATCATAGTCAGGACCTTGCACTCGGCAGGTAGATATTCGTGCCGCTGAGCTCTATCCCATCCCTACCATCTTATATTATATATTTGAGTAACATGGAGGGATCCATAGGAAGAACATCTTTATCCTCAGCTCATCCTGGTATTTTGTAGCTTGAATTTTTTTTTTTTTTTTCCTTATTTTGGTGGAACCAGGGATTTAACTCAGGCCCCTGCACTTGCCAGCAAACGCGTATTCCACTGAACCATCTCCCCGGCCCCTAGCTTGAATATTTTTATCTTCCTCTGAGTAACCCAGCTCCCTAAGCTGTAACAGTTTGTACTGAGAAATATTAGTTTTCTTAGGATCACTATTGCTTTATTTTTACCCAAGATGGTTATGGTTATTTAAATAATAGCAGCAGTGCTTAAGAGCTATTTATCAAAAAAAAAAAAAAGAGAGAGCTATTTATCATCTTTGATACATGAACCCTACATTTATCCCAAGGAAATACTGCTAAATAAAAGTGCTTAAGAGTATTCACTGAAGGGCTGGGGAAATAACTCAGTTGAATGAGCACTTACCTGGCAAGTGCAAGGGCCTGAGTTCAATTCCCAGCTCTGAAAAAAAAAAAAAAGAAAGAAAGAAAGAAAAAAAGAGTATTCACTGAATTGTTATTCTTGCCCAGAAAGAAACTATATTTTAACAGATTATGTAAATAATGTTTGGCATGGATTGAATATTATATACGTTTTGTGTGCGTGTGTGTATGTGGTCCAGATCTATAATCTACTCTGATATTGCAAAGTTACATTTAAAAAAAGTTAACAGTAATAATAATTACTGGGATTTTCTTTTTCTTTTTTTTTGTTTTGCTTGGTTCAGGGTCTTGCTATATAGCTCAGACTCATAGTGATCCTCCTGTCTCAGCCTTCCCATCCCTGGGATTATAGGCATGCGCCACCACACCTGGTTTCAGTGGCCAGCTGGGTGTGGGGCTGGCGCTGCGATACCGGGGAGTGTACCTGGGTCCTTGCTCTTGTCAGGCAGGTGCTTCATCTGCTGAGCTCTCTCCTGGCCATTAACATAAATTCTAATACAAGTTACAGCAAAAACTTTGGGAAGATTTAGCCTTCCTACTTTTCCATTGGTGATAGGGAGGCTGAGCTATAATTATGTCATTTGAAATTAATCTTAGTCCTTAGTGAGGGATAATTCCCTACCTTAATTTAGTTGCCGCTAAAGAGATTTAAAGACTGGAAGATTCAAAGGTACCACACTTGAAATATATGTTTTTTTTGTGGAAGTGGGGATTGAACTCAGGCTTTTGCGCTTGCCAGGGAAGCGCTTATTCCACTGAGCCATCTCCCCATCCCCTATATTTTTATATTTATATTTTATTTTATTTTGTATTTAGGATAGGGTGTACAGGGTCTCTTTGTAGATGGGACTTGCAGTGATCCTCCTGTTTACAGCCTCCCAAGTGCTGGAATTACAGGTGTGTGCCACCCTGCCCAGTCTCAGTCACAGTCTCAGCATGCCCTGGGGGCGGGGCTGGCACGTGAAATATTTTTTTAATTTCAGAAAATGTTTACTGTGGGCCGGGGAGATGGTTCAGTAGAATAAGTGCTTCCCTGGCAAGTGCAAGAACCTGAGTTCAATCCCCAGTTCCGCAAAAAAAAAAAAAAAAAAGTTTACTATAATGCAGGTCTGGGTACTTTGGGAGGATTCCCAAGATGTGGGTCATGTTTAGTGTTTTCAGAGAAATCTGTATTCAAACCAGGGAGACAGCTGTAAACACATTCAGTAGTCATAGGAAAACTTCGTGCCTTGGTGTGGTCTGCCTCTTTGCCTAAGACATAACTGTCCTGGATCTTAAAGTTGGTATAGTCATGTTTTCCTGCCATCTTAATGAGCTGAACACCTAGTATAAAGAATTAAACACGGTTGCGTACAACTGTAGACCCTGATTGAAAGCATCACGCCTGATGTTTCTTTGTGGATGTGAATAACTCATTATTTTCTAATTTCACAGTCATGGGAGCATAGTTTACCATGACAGGCTGGGGGTGCCTCACTGCCCTCTCCTTTTCAGCTTTCCATACACAAAAAAGTGGTACTGTATTAACTTAGGTGTTTTGGTATTGTTTTTAATCTGTTCTAAACAGGTGAAGCTACACAGCATTTTAAAGAATGCCATGGAGCAGATCCTTTGGAAGAGGTAGAGAGTCCTAAGGAGCCTAAGTCACCGTGGAAAAGGGTTTCTTTTGAAAGGTAGCTGCCAGTGTCTCTGAACTTTCTCAAAGCAAGTTATGCTTCAATTTTCTTTTTTAATTTAACATAACATATATTTTTACTTTGTTTCTTTTTTGTCTTTTTGAGACAGGGTCTCACTCTGCAGTTCAGGCTGGTCTGAGCTCACATTTATAGCCCAGGCTGGCCTCAACCTCACAGGATCCTCCTGTTTCAACCTCTGTGTGCTTAACATACATTTTTAAAAAAACATTAAGTACAGAAGTGAACAATTCAGGGATATTTAAAGCAAAATTAGCACCCTTCTGAGACTGCAGTGTACTGCTATACCCTTAACTTATCAGTGTTTGCTATTCTCTATGTATTTATCCTGTTTGACCCTTGATACTACACAGAGCTGTCTTTACCACTCTAATACCTGTCAGAATGAATCACAAGCAGTAGGAAGTGATAACAAAAGGGAGAGTCTGTCTTCTTTTTCTTTTCTTTTTTCTTTTTTGTGGTGGGAGGGACTGAATCCAGCATGCTAGGCGCACTCTCCAGCTTGGAGCTACCTGCCCAGACCCACTTCCGCTGTTCTGCTTCTGCCAGTGGCCAGCTGTGTGGAGCAGCCTGCTGGGCTGTCGGTGGGAGGAGGGGCTTGTTGTGGTCAGGCTGGCCAGTCAGTGGGAGACCTCTTTCAGGTGCTCTTTCTCACCTGAGGCTTGGGGCCCATCTTGGGATGAAGACGAAACCGAGTCCACTGGTGAACTAATTCGACTTGGAGACACAGCACACACCTTTTCTCTAAGAAGTAGCAGTAAGTACTTAAAACTTCAAATGGCAAATTAGCAAAAAGGTTACAATTCAATATACAAGTATAATTCATAGAGTTACAGTCTTACAAGTTGAGGAGGATAGAGTCCTTTGGGAATGTTAGCATCACACTTAAGAATGCTGGCCATTACCTACTAAATACGAACATTTACAGGCAGGTGGTGTTCACAGGCACATGGCAGTGAGTCCAAGGCAGGTAAGTAAATTCAAGGTTGTCACTTGTGGGACCTGACATCCTAGGAGGACAATTCCGGATACACTTCATAGTCCAGTCACACTTTCGGAGTAGTCCTCTTTCTTTAAGTTCTGGGGATTGACCTCAGGGCCTTCACCCCAGCCCTGTTTTTAAGTTTGAGAGGGGATCTTGCTGATAGCTAACCAGGCTTGGCTTGAACTTGTGACCCCCTTGCCTCAGCCTCCTTGAGTGCTAGGATTGCAGGCATGCACCATCACATTCGGCCAGAATACTCATCTGTATTTTCCCAAACGAATTGGTTCACCTTTTTTCATTATTGCAACAAGTTTGTATTCCCAGTGGCAGTTTTTCTTCCAGGCAGCAGGCCACGTCCCCGACAGTGTGCTGTCTCTGCATGGCAGCTCCGAGCATCTCTCCCCTCAGTTCCCCTTCCTCCAGTTGTCTCACCCGCTGCGCTGCCCACCCGGCTGCTCGGTTCCCCTCTGCTGTCATACGCTGGGGCTTTTCCTCTTCCTGTTCCTAGCAGACACCCCTCAGTTTTCCACTTACCCTCTGCCTCAGACTCTGATGCTGTGTTTACACTGTGTAGCCCCTCTTTTTGTAACACCATTCACACATTCTAAGGTAACTTAGAGTTTGTTATGGAAAAAGTTTCTGACAAAGGAGCCATGTTGCACTGACTCAGTATTCAGGGCCTTCTCTGCTGGGCAGTGGTGATGAGTGGGAAACAAAGCAGATAGAGTCCCTGCCTTTGTGGAGCTTATGTTCTCCTGATGAGGGCTGCTAGTAAGTATGATGTGATAACTAAAATACAGGGTAAAATTACCTTTTAAAACAGAAAAAAAAAAAAAAAGACCTGCACCAAAATAATTATTTCTGATAGAAAGACAAGCATGTTAGTGTGGTATTAAGTACCTTAAGTTGAGATTGAGAAGTAGGCTTTGTCACTTTCCAGACTCTGCTATTGGATATGTTACTTTGGGTAGGGTCTCATCTTCTCAGAGCCCCTGGGTGAGAAGTGAACCAAGCCATGTCTGAAGTTCCTTCCAGCACTGGTTCTCTGATTCCAAGTAGGAGTAGGTGGTGCATTCCAAGGAATTAGGCTCCAAAAACCCAAGTCAGAAGGTCAGACAGTAGGCCAAAGTATGTGCTTCCTTTTGGGATGAGCAATATAGGATGATCAGTCAAGTGTATTTAGAGTGTTTGTTGGCCAGATGTGGTGGCATATACCTGTAATCATAGCTCTTTGGGGGGCTGAGGCACGAGGATCACAGATTTGAGGCCAGCCTGACCCATTTAGTGAGACCCTATTTCAACAGGAACTAGAAGTAGACCTCATTGGTCGAGTGCCTGTTAGTAGGCTCACTGGCCTGTACAGGAAAAAAAAGTTTTGAAGATAGTTGCTTATTTTGATCAGATGGAAGGGACAATGATTCCAGAAATGAGTTCTGTGATATCAAGTGCCATGAAAAAGGTACACTATAAAAAAAGTAAAATAAACTGTGTTGAGCATTTCTAACCCAAAAATCTGAAATATTCCAAAGTCCAAGAATTTTTGACAGCCTGCGTTGGTGGTATAGTGGTAAGCATAGCTGCCTTCGAGAAAGTTTTGACATCACAAATGTAAAATCACACTGACCTGACATAATCACTGAGACCTGATGTAACAGGTCACAGCCAAAGTGTAGGTACACTAAAATATTGTGGAAAATTACTTCCACACTGTGTGTACAAATGTACATGAAGTACAGGTGAGTTGGCTTCCATTCCTGTGGTAGCTCATGTGTGTGCAGATATTCTACAATCTCAGACACTTCTGGTCACAAGCATTTTAGATAAGAGGTTCTCAGCCTGTACTTGTTTTCAGATTACGAAGAGCAAGAGAAATTGTTTTCATTACACTTTGGGTAACAGAGAAAAGGCGGAGAGACACTTGGCAATGGTGTTCGGGTTTGATGTGATAAAGGAGTTTCTGGAAATTTCCTTTTATATTTAGATTGAGATAGCAGATAACTGGTGGATACATTCATAGACATTTAGTGTAGGCTTCAGTTTCTGGACTCTCTGATTATGGTATTATTAGGTCTTTTTTCTTTTTGCGGTACCAGGGATTGAACTCAGGACCTTGCAGGCAGGCGCTTATTCTCCTGAGGTATCTTGCCCAGCCTCCGATTGTGGTACTCTCTATACTCCTACTTCAAGTGTCTCTTGGGGGCTTTTGGAAGTTTTTTTTTTTTTTTTTTTTTTTTTTTTGAGACAGGGTCTCACTGTGTAGTTCAGGCTGGCCTTGAACTTGCAGCAATCTCCTGTCGCCTTTCAAGTGCTGGGATTGCAGGTGTGTGCCACCATACCCTGCTCAAGTGTCTCTTCATAACCAAAAGTGGTCACATAATACTAATACTAAGCATTTCCATAATTTTGGCACCTATTTTTCTGAAGCACAATATGAAAGTTTTAATACAGCAGTTTTCAGGTTATATAAAGGATTCTGGGCTATAGAACTTGATTATCTTACTATGTGACAGCAGTAAAAATAATTGATGTTAAACCTGTTTGGCTAATATTGTTCTTTCAACACTGTTATTCCTCTTGGTTTTTAGTATAATACTTAGTAAACTATTTGATAGTTTAAGAATTTACCTTTAATATTTTCTTTCCTAGGTGCCCAGATCCCTGTTGATGCTCAGTATAAAAGAACATTAGCCTCACCGGGTTCTATATCATATGAGGCCGTGTTGAACTCACCCTCCTCTATTTTCCTGTCCAAGAATGCAGCACCATTTGTTGAAGATAGTGAGTTGTGATGGGCTATTTGTTCTTTAGGTTACTGCTTGGTTAGGCGCAGTAGCTGATGCTTGGTATTTCTACTTTGTTTTTCAGTTTTGCTGTCCTATACTTTGTTACTCCTATTTATTTATTTGGTACAGGGTCTCACTACTCAGCTCAGACTTACAGTAATCCTCCTGTCTGAGCCTCCCCAGCACTGGGATTACAGGAGTGCTCCACCGTACGCAGTTTCCGTGGCCGGCTTAGTGTGGGGTCTTCACGGCATGCAGTACTAGGGATCAAACAGGTCCTGTGCTTGCCAGGCAGACACTCAGACAACTGAGCTACTTCCCCAGCCATCCTCTTTAGTTTTGTATGATTTTGTTCGTAACAATCTGCCCTTAATTATGAGTTCTTTTTTTTTTCTTCTAATTTTATTTATGTGTGTGTGTGTGTGTGTGTGTGTGTGTGTGGCCAGCTCAGCCCACCAGGGGGCGGGGCTGGCTGGCATGTGGTGCTGGGGGATTGAACCGCGGTCCCCGTGCTTTGCCAAGCTTGTTCCAAGTAGGTGCTTTAGACCACTGAGCCATCTTACCAGCCCAATTATGAGTTCTGAGTTCTGTTTTTTTTTTTTTTCTTTGCAGTACTGGGAGTTGAACTCAGGACCCTGCACTTGCCAGGCAAACACTTATTCTACTGAGCTATCTCCCCGTACCCCTGAGTTCTGTTTTAGATGGTTTTTGGTCACGTATTTTTGTGTTCATTATTTTATTGTCTAAGTCTTTTCTTAGAGACTTTCGGGGCCGGGGAGATGGCTCAGTAGAATAAGTGCTTTCCTGGCAAGCACAAGGGCCCTAATTCAATCCCTGGTTCTGCAAAAGTAAATAAATAAATAAAGACAATGAGTCTCTGATATACTTTATATCAGTTGCCGACCTTTAACTTAATAACGAGTGACAAAATACTATTATTCCTTTTTTTTTTTTTTAATATATTTTTAAAGATTCTTTTTTTTTTTCGGTCAGCTCAGCCTGCCTTAAGGGGGGGTCTGGTGCGGTATGTGGTGCAGGGGATCAAACCGCGGACCCCTGCGCCTGACTGAGTTTGCCCAAGCAGGAGCTTTAGACAGCTGAGCTATCCTACCAGCCCCATCCTTTTTTTTTTTTTTTTTCCCTTTGTTTGTTTATAAATGAGGATTGGGCCCAAGGCCTATGCATGTTAGACAAGCACTCTATGCCCAACCCTCCTATTTATTTATGTAGTGCTGAGGATTGAATCCAGCACCCTTAACACTGAGCTGCATTTCTGTTTTATTTTACTTTTTGAGACAGGCCTTAGCCTTCCAGAGTGCTGGGGGTATAGACACAAACCGTCATGTCAGGCTCATTTAGCCCTTCTAAAGTTTTATTTTAAGGAAAGGTCTTGTCCAGGCTGGCCTTGAACATGTGATCTTCCCTCTGCAGCCTTACGAGTAGCTGGGATTACAAGTTCATGTCGCTGTGACCAGGCCCCATTCCTTGTGGTTCTCTATGACTTCTGTATTGGGATTATCCCAATACTTCTGTATTGGGAAAATCAGTTTTTTGGTTTTTTTTTTTTTGCGGAACCGGGGATTGAACTCAGGCCCTTGAGCTTGCCAGGCAAGCGCTTATTCTACTGAGCCATCTCTCCGGCCCCGAAAATCATTGTTAATGACTGACCAGTTTTCTAAATGTGAATGAACTATAATTTACATAGACATTCTTTTTTTTTTGGTGGTACCAGGGATTTGCTCTTGCCAGGCAGGTGCTTATGCCACTGAGCTATAACCCCGACCCTATATAGACATTCTTTAAGCCATGAGGTTTCTTCCAAGTGTTTCTTATTTTTAAATTTTCAAGGAATGATTTTATGATAATAACATTAAGATTACAGCTATCCTGCCAGACGCTGTGGTGCACACCCGCAATCCCAGCACCTGAGAGGCTGAGGCAGGAGGGTCATTGCACTGTATATTGGCGTGCCTAGCCTGAACTTAACGGTGAAGGCCTGTCTGGAAAAAAAAAAATTAACATCCATTCTTATGTAGATTTCTACTTTTTTGGCTAAGACTATAGCCCTGATTTAATTATGTTTTGTGTGCTCTAGTGTGGGGGGAATATGTTTGGCTGGGTATACTATGTGCTAAATGATTTATTTAGAATTTTGTAAGATTTACTGTAATTTGCCTTCCCAGCGGAAGTCCCATCTGCAAGCGAGGCTCCAAGTGCTAGAAGGCTAGGGGAGCCCATCCGAGCAGCTATTCCTTTGCACCCCCCCTACCACCCTGCAGAGCCGCGAGCACCCTGCCCCATAGGCAGAGAATACCTATATTCAAGTCGCTTCTCCCCTGCCATGAGTTCACCTGGAGAGCATGCTGTGTTTCCTGTGGTAAGTGCGGGTTTGCTTGCGGCTGGGGAGAAGCCCATATATTTGGTATTTCTTTTGTTGCTGGAAATAGGACGCAAGGCTTTGTGTATGCTAAACATGTGCTGTACCACAGAGTTATACCTGCAAGCCCAGAAGCCCAGATACAGTCCAGCATGCTCCACCACTAGGAGATGAGATGGCGTTGTACTTACCACTGGCCACTGTGTTTATACCTGTATATTCATACTCTGTCATTCTAGGAAGATAGGGACAAAGTAAATGTCAAGGGATGAGGGGGCCCGAGATGGCAGGAGTGGGAAGAAAAGGAAGAGAATTAAAGAAAAGAACTAAGATGTGGCATGTACCAGCTAAACAAAGAAGAGAAAAGGAAGTGATAATAAAAAGGAAAGATGAGCCGACACATGGCAAATGTTTATGTTTTGCCAGGTACAAATTTAGGTACTTCATGGGTATTGAACAATTTATTGCTTAAAACATTTCTGGAGTGTTGGGGAGATAGCTTAGCAGTGTAAACAACCTGCCTGGCAAGTGCAAGGACCCAGGTTTGATCCTCAGTACGGAATGCTGTACTAGCCCTGGACCCCAGGTGCACCATGCTGGCCCTGAAACCAGGTGTGGTGATGCACTCCTATAATCCCAGCGCTGGAGAGGCTGAGACAGTTACAGCTGCATATTGAGACCCTGTATCAAAAACAAAAATAAAGAGGGCCGGGGAGATGGCTCAGTGGAATAAGCGCTTCCCTGGCAAGCGCAAGGGCCTGAGTTCAATCCCTGGCTCCGCCAAAAAAAATAAAAAATAAAAAAAATAAAACAACAACAACAAAAAAGTTGGAATAGGTACTATATTTCCAATAGGAAAGCTGATGTAGAAAGGTTAGTATCTTCCCTAACGTTACACAGCAGTTGAAGAGACAGGATTTCAACTCGGGCATTCTGGCCTCAGAACCATTTTGTGTGTCTCTAGTTAAATAATTTAACGATACCAGAATGTTGGTGGGCATCGTGGTGCCCACCTGTAATCCCAGCACTGGGGAGGCTGAGGCAAGAGGATCACTGTGAGTTTGAGGTCAGCCAGGGCTACAAAGTTAATTCAAGGCCAACCTGAATTGCATAGTGAGACCTTGCGTCAACAAAACAAAGCAAAAGCCAGAATATGTAAAACAAGAAAATAAAGGTCATTCAGTGGCTTAAGCACCTGCCTGGCAAGCACAAGGCCCTGAGTTCCATCCCTGGTAACAAAAAATAAAAAAAAGAACAAAGAAAATAACCATCTATTGATATTCCATTATCCGGCCTGAGTCATTATTAGCATCTTGAACTGTTTTGACTTCTTTTCATCTTTGGGGGAAGAAAATCCACTTTATGTAGTCATCCTATCCATATCTTTCTAGAAGGAATAGACAGCTTTGTGGCAGGATGAATTTATAAACAATGATTTTCATCATTAAAGAATGTTCCCGGCCTGACCACAGGCACACCATAATCTCAGCCCTTGGGAGGCTGAGGAAGAGGATCAGGAGGTCAAGCCCCGTCAGGGCAGTAAGGGCCTCACTTGACTGGCAGTGTGGATGATTGTGCAGGCTCTGTGCCTAATCCCTAGCACTCCAAAAGGAAAAAGAGAAGAGGGAGGGGAGAAAGGAAAGGAGAGCTAAGAGCGAGGGTGCTGAAGGGTGGGGAGGGAGGCTGGCATGGTAGAGGGGGTTGCAATGTGAGGTCAGTCTGGAAACCCAAACCAAAACAATTCCCAGCAGTGCAGGGAACGCATGGAAATGAAGGGTGCATCAGCAGCATTAGATGGCATCATTTTAGACATGCTGTGCATCTATTCAGGTAGGATGCTGGATCAATAAAAAGGGAAAATACGGTCGTAGGGTAAGTACTGTCTTTGTCAGGGAGCGTAGGGGTTGGCAGGAAGGCTTCTGAGTTGTGTTTCTGTGTTCACCTGAGTGGAAGAGAATGAAAATATCCATCTTGAAATAAAATTAATTGAGCTAGACACATACTGCATTAAAAAGTTATTAAGAATGCAGTCACAGTTGCTGTTTACTGTGAATTTTTAGTAGAAGGAAATATGGAAGTGAAATTGAAGATGTCATTAAACAGTAAATACTTATTTGCCACAAAAATGTTTTCTTGGGGCTGGGGAGATGGCTCAGTAGAACAAGACTTGCCTGGCAAGAACAAGGGCCCGAGTTCAATCCCCGGTTCCTAAAAAAAAAGTTTTCTTCTAGTTTTATTTTGCACACAAAAAATATTTTCTAGGCCAGGGATGTAGCTTAATGGTACAGGATATAGCTCGCCTGGCAAGCGCAAGGCCCTGAGTTCAATTGTGGGTACCAGTACATATATGTTTTCTAAAAGGTGCTCGCTTGAGTGTGGGAGTGTAGCCCAGTGAGAGCATATTCCTAGCATGCTCAAGGCCCTTGGTACAATTCTTAGCTCCAGAACAAAAAAGATGACTCGTAAGGTTAAGGAGTAATTGCTCCAGGCGTGGTGGTACATGCCTGTGATCTCGGGACTTGAGGCAGAAGTGGGCGCATCATCACAAGTTCAAGGCAACCCAGGCCACATAGTAAGCACACAGCCAGCCTAAACTACGCAGAGAGAGCCTATCAAAAAAGACAAAAAAGAAACTAACTGTTGGCATGGTGGCACACACCTATAACCCAAAGCTTTAGGAGGCTGTGCAGGAGGAACGCCGTGAGTGCAAGGCCAGCTGCACTACATAGTGAGACCCTGTCTATAAAAAATAACTAGCCATTACTGAAAATGTCAAGCATTTTGGGAAGTTTCATGTTCAAAGTATTTCAACTTTGAACAATCCTTTTTGATTTCTTTTTTTTTTTTTTTTTTGGTGGAACCAGGGATTGAACTCAGGCCCTTGCGCTTGCCAGAGAAGCACTTATTCCACTGAGCCATCTCCCCAGCCCCAACCCTTTTGATTTCTTAATGTAAGAGATGGTAACTTGAACACTTGTACTTGGGATAATTCCTGAAAGCCTACAGTGATATCATCCTGGAAAAGCCCCATCTCGTCTGATCGTGGAAGCTAGGCAGGGTCAGGCCTGCTCAGTACTTGGGTAAGACCTAATCCCCGAAATGTCATGTCAAGAGTCCCTTTACCTGCCTTAAAGTAGAATGGCATTCTGAGCCACAGTTTTTTTCTAAGCTGATAAGACATTGCTGTAAGTCATTTGAGCATTAATATATTTTGACAAATGTGTTGTCACATGGAAATTAAAAGACAGCTTTTTAAAAAAAAAACATATTTGGTTGCAGGGTCTCACTACGCAGCTCGGACTCATAGTAATCCTCCTGTTTTTCAGCCTCCCCAGCTCTGGGATTACAGGCGTGCGCCACTAGGCCCAGACTCTGTGGGTGGGCCGGCTTATCCCACCCTGGGGATGGGGTTGGCACAATATGTGCCAGGGAACCGTGGTCCCTGTGCTTGCCTAAGCAGGCGCTTTAATCTACTGAGCTATCTCCCTGGCCCAAGTCAGCTTTTTGTCATAGGTCCTCCCTTCCCTGACCCAAAAAGGACTTACGTAGCCTTTTCAAATGGACTTTTTTCTGTTGCTAATAGGAACCAGATGATACAGTTACTTTAACTTCCATGGTGCCCAAAGAAAGTGACCAAAAAATATGTCCAGCTCAAGTCCTCAGCCCTAGGACAAGGAAGCTTCCAAAAGGAAAAAGGTAACATTACTGCAGGCTTTGATGCTTACTGTCTGTTGGTAAAAGAATTTGAAAAGTAAAGGGTAGACTAAATTTAGCTGTGGAAGCCAGTATGAAGTATCTATTAAAGTATCTATTACAGTTTTTACTATAACATATATCTGGTTACTTAAATGCTACATGGTCACATTTATTGCAGAAGTGAAAACAGAGCAGCGACTGCGTCATGGGAGTCACCTTTCTCCCAGAGGCTGAGAAGGAGGCTAACAGAACAAGAGCTACACGTGGTATCAGAGAAGCTGTCTCAGCGGCTATCTGAACTAGACTGGGCAAGTCTTGTTTTCTATGGATACTGAGACTGCTGTGGTTCACAGCTAGGGCCAGGGCCTTCCCAATGGAAAGTGAAAGCTAAGCCTTTGATCTGCAAAGTGAGTTAGGTCTTAGTTACTATGAAAATTGTTCCAGAGGGTAAGCAGGTAGGACATGAGCCAAGATCTCTTAGCCTTTTTGATATAATGAAATACAGCACTGATTTATCCATTTGTCAGTTGTGATAAAAATTAACTCATTTACAGTGGTCCCTTACATCATGGAGGTTATGTTCCAGGCCCCCCCGCGATAAGTGAAAATCAAAGTAGTGACGTTATAATGTTTATTCATATATCTATATCTATGTCTGTCTGTATATATGTATGAAGGCTTCGTAACCCCTTCCCACATTCTTGTAAACCTTTCCTACACTTTTATTTTTTTTTTTAATTTTTTTACATATTACAGTGTCTACAGGGTCTCACTACACAGATCCGACTCAGTGATCTTCGCATTTTCAGCCTCCCAAGCACTGGGGTTATAGATGTGCCCTACTATACCCAGTCTCCCCAAACTTTTAAAAGCACTTCTAGTGTTCTTAATCATTTTCTAGGCTCCTAAACCTATGAAATTTTAATAACGTAAGTATACTGTACAGTCTGGCAAAATCCCACCATACATTGAAAAAATCCACGATGAATAATTTAGATTAATATTTTTTGAAAACCCACGAGACAGCCTGTGAAAGTTGAACTGTGAAATAGCAAGGGACTACTGTAATATGAATAATTATGTAAAGCTAAATGTATCCGTGTAGTTTTTCTTTGTCATTAAAGACAAATCTGGGGGCCAGGGAGATAGCTCAGTAGAATAAGCACCTCCCTGGCAAATGCAAGGGCCTGAGTTCGATCCCTGGTTCCACCAAAAAAACAAAACAAAACAAAAAAAAAACTAGGGGGCCGGAGATATAGCTCAGTGGCAAATGCAAGGTTGTGAGTTCAATCCCTGGTACCACCAAAAAAAGCTGCAGCAAAAAAAAGACAAATCTGATATAAAACTGATCACTGATTCTCACAAAATCCAATGGCGTAACATTGAATAAATATATTAAACCCTTCAGACTTACAGCAGGAAACTTGTGACTTAATGAGGGAACTCATTCATTCGCAGCACTGATTCCTACCCTAAGAGGCTAAATGTGGATGAGTGTCTAAGAACTAGTGACTGTTACAGGAAACCCTAAAGGTCTGCTCTCTTCTCTCACCCACTTACATTCTGCTGTTCTGCTGAAATTAATGAAAGGTGTTGAAATGAATTTTTTCAATAGATGTTAAAAAGTGCCCTGGGTCATCAAATTAAAGAAAAGGTAGACCATAAAGAAGATACTGAAAAGGAAGAGGACCACGGTGATGAGGAAACACTGTCTCAGCACAGCGACAGTGTTGTGGAGTGTGGGCCCAAGAAGCTACGACCAGGTACTTCTGCGGAGGGCAGGTGGCGTCCCGAGGACCTGCTTAGGGGGCCTTATGTGCTTGGATTGATTCTCGTTTTAAACTTTTCAGAACTACACAGAAGGAATCAATAATATCAAAGTTGGTATTGTTTTCTTCCAAATGTTTTTTTTTTTTTTTTGTACAGGGGCTCACTACGCAGTTCCGACTGGTAGTAATTCTCCTGTCTCATCCTCCCCATTGCTGGGATTATAGGCATGCACCACTGCGCCCAGTTTCAGGGGCCGGCACGGTGACACAGCATGTAGTACTGGGGATCAAGTCTAGGTCCTTACACTTGCCAGGCAGGCGCTTGGACCGCTGAGCTATCTGCCTGGCGCATTCCAACACTATTTTTATACTTTAATAACTTACACTGTGCATTAGTTATCCAAACATACTACTATATTGTTGTATGGATTTTAAATTTAGAGATGCTGCATATATTTTTCTGCAGCTTTTTCCTGTTGCCTGTTTCTGAAAATCTGTTTATGTGGTATTTAGAGATCCTGCCCGTTCAGTGTCGTGCACTGGAGTGCTCCCCCCACTGGGATGAACCTGGACTGCATGGCGCATGACCATGGTAGCTGCAGCTGTTGGCTTGTGAGCACGCTACCCTACAAGTACCGATGAGGCGTGCAGACATGCTTACAGCCCTCCTCAGGGCCTGAAATTTACTTTTTTGTGCTTACTGACACCACTCCAAGAGTCCTTGCCATAGGACTTTGTGCATGGCAGGCATTCCACGTGTGCAGTTCAATCCAAAGTTGAATACACATGCTAAGTACTTATTTAAGACTATACATTTATGTCTATTTCTCTTATTTGTATGATTAAAATACGAATTAGTTAGGAGACAATATACTTAGCACGTTTATTCATCATTCTCTTTGGATCTGGTAAGAACCAGTTGTTTGATTTTCGACTTGACATTTCTGGCTGGGAGGAACTAATAAATGGCCTTTCTGTTTGTAGGACTTTCTGTGCACAGAAAGCCACATTTCAGGTCCCATTCGCTGTCTCCAGTTCACAAATACAAGCAGTTCCAGGTAGAGCGGAAAAGACAGCAGAAGCACAAAGAAAGAGACTTCCGTGAGTTGCAGGCAAAGGTACTTCCCCATCACCCGACTACCTCTGGGCAGTAGCCAGTTCCATTCCTCTCAGCCAGATGCTGTTGAGCATGCTGCTAATTAAAAGAGTTAAAATGTATTTAATATGCTTGAGTGGATGATAATTATGTGTTATGGTTTATGCCCCTTTCCCAGGGAACATAAAGTTCTAGGGAAATTCTCAAGAAAATAACCTGGTCAGATACAGTTCAGTGTTTCAGGGGAGGAAGAAAATCATCGTAGGCTGGCATTTTATACTTTCAGAGAGAATTTAAGACGGACTGAGCGTAATGAGCCCCTGCAGACTGGAGATGAGAAAGGGCCCATTGGCAGCGGCATGGCTAGAGTCCCACAGGGAGACTGCTCTGCGTGCCAGAGAAAAGTTTCTGGCATGGGACAGGGGTTTGATGTATTGTATGAATTTAGAACACTTAATTGTTTGCTGTAGTAGATTTTATCGTGGTTTTATAATGTATTGGTATTTGTAATGGTGAAAACAGAAGTTACTTCAGATGGATGTTTTACAGTAGCTATATGCAGTATGTAACTAGGTGGGATTTCCACTGAGGAGTGGCAGAATGATTACAAAACCTGTGAGAACAAAATCTTCATAATGTAAAATTTCACTTTACACCCAGTTGTGCAGACCAAATTGTATATTATACAGAGCTGAATGGGATTGCTTTTTTTAAAGAAAGGATGAGTCTGATACTTTAGAGGCGGCGGGATCCTAGGTGTGGTGGTTTTGCCTTCGTGTCCTCTTGTGGATGGATGTTTCTAGTAACTATAACATTGATGACCTTTTCCTCTCTAGGCATTAACTGAAGCATTTGAAAGGGAACTAAGAAGAAATAAAGCTCAAGAGAATACTGGACCTCACGGGCCACATGAGGAGGAGGAACCAGTGGGTAAAAGTCTCCACTGCGGTAGACACCGTAGGTCACTGCAGTGCACCCTGCCAAGAGGAGCTTTGTTAAGGAAGCAAAGCACCGCAGAGTTTTAATCATTAACTGTTTAGGAAAAGTCAGGATTTCATTTCTTCACATAGAATTTTCTTTTATTCATAGAGGCTTCAAGTTGCTTAAATACTAGACAGCTGGTGCCAAAGAAAACTAGTGTTTTTCCTTTTGCCTGATGCTTCCATTGATTTTTTTTGGAGGTTTCTTCTGGTTAGCAGTATACCAGAGGTTAAAGAGAATAATCTGTGCTGACAAGTTCCAAGGAAGTGAGAGAGGCCAGGCATGACAGTGTATGCCATGATGGCATGTAGTGCACTCCTGGAAGACAGCTGCATCCTAAAACTGTCTCAACAAAGGGCTGGGGGTACAGTACAAAGACCCTGGGTTCAGACTCCAGGAGAAAAAAAGAAAAGAAAAACCAAAGGGAGTAAGAGAAGTCAGAGAATCCCAAGTGAGAGAATACCTGGTTAAAAGAAGGATAAGTTTTCATTGTTTTCCAAGTGGTAGCTCATAGAAACTTAAGTGAAAGCAAAAGAAATGCTTACCTAAAATGTTGGTGAGCAGAACTGGAAACACAGTACAGAACAGTAACAGCTAAGCGCTGCTTACAGGGTAGCTGCTTAAAAGCTGTCCAGGAAACGAGCACCTCAGAGTGGCTGTACTTGGCTGTGGGCTGTGGTGACGGAAACTGGGAGGAAGTCAGAGCTGCTTCAGAGTCCACGGCACGACAGCCAAGAGAGCCTCGAACTTAGAGCAGAGGAGTGCTAGCCAGACTACGGGAGTGTGCACTAAAGTGATGTTTCTAGGGATTAGTTAGCTGTTTTTACCACCATGTGATATTTAAAGTGAGGTATGGAAGAGCCATTAGGCCTTGCTCTTACTTCTGTTTTACATGTGCTTTTAAGGACGAAACACACAGAGAAGCTGTTCATAAAGGAGCTCCAGAACATGTCCAGCCCTGGAAGATCTCCTCCAGGAAAACCACAGCTCTGAGTCCAAGCAGTGGCCTTCCAAAGCCAAAGAAAGCAGCTCCGAGTAAGAACTATGAAGTTGTACTTTATGGAAAATCGGCATCTTTTGAAAGCGTATGCTGCATTACAGGGACACGGCACTAAAACTAGCATCTACCAGTTAGTAGCAGAAAGTTCCTTATTTAAAAGTCACTGCCAAGGGCCAGCCAAATAGCTTAGCAGATTAAAGTGCCTGCAAGCAGGCCAGGGGCTGAGGGGTTTGATCCCCGGACCTGCTGAGCCAGCCTTGCAACCAGGGCATGCTGAGATGGGATTGAGACGGCGCACACCTGTAATCCCAGCTCTTGGGAGGCTGTAAACAGGCGGATCACTACGAGTCTGATTATTAGTGAGAACATGAACACCCTGTAGACCCTTCCCTAAAATAAAAAAAGTCACTGCCTGTGGCTGGCTTTCTGTAAGAAAGCTAAAACTCTTCAAGGAAGTAGCTTTGGGGCCAGAGTGCCAGTACCAAGTGCCAGGGCTACTGCCTCTGTTCTAGCTTGAGCTTCTGTTCACTTACCTGGTTGCCTTTTTTTTTTTTCCCTGGTACTGGGGATTGAACTCAGGATCCTGCACTTGCCAGGCAAGCACTTATTCTACTGAGCTATCTCCCCGGGCCCTGGTTGCCCTTTTTTTTTTTTTTTTTTTTTT